GACCTAAATAAATGGTAAGATATACCATTGTTTATGAATTTAAATACTTAATATTTTTAAGGTGACTATTTCCTACATTGATTTAGAGATTGATTAAACACAGTTTAAAAAACCCACAGCTGTCCTTTTTTTTTTTTTTTTAAGAAATTTGATCTTAAAACTCAAATGGAAATGATGCAAAGGACACAGAATAACCAACAGAATCCTGAAAGAGAGTACATTTGGAAGATTCAGGTTTCACATTTCCTGACTTTAAAACTTACAATAAAATCACAATATTCTAGACAGTATGCTACTTGCATGAAGATACCCTTAAAAGTTCAATGGAATAGAATTGGATCAGAAATCCCACATTTATGATCAGTTGATTTTGACAAGGATGTCAAGACAATTTTATGAGCCAAAAATAGTCTTTTCAATAAATGGTGCTAGGACAGGTGAATATTTACCTACAGAAAGAATTAAAATGGACCCTTACCTCATAGCATATACAAAAATAAACTCAAAATGAACCATAAAACTAAAATTATAATTATTATTAAGAATAAGAACTAAAATTATAAAGGTCTGAGATGAAAACAGGAATGAATTTTCATGATCTTAGATTAGTAAAAGATAGATATAAAACTGAAAGTATGCCTGTAATCTCAGAAGATCAGGAGACTGCAGAAGGAGCATTCTGAGTTCAAAGCCAGCCTCAGCCACAACGAGGTACTAAGCAACTCCAATGAGACCCTGTCTCTAAGTAAAATACAAAATAGGGCAAGAATGTGGCTCAGTGGTCAAGTGTCCCTGAGTTCAATCCTTGGTACCCACTCCCACTCCTCCCCTGCAAAATAAATAAATAAATAAATAAATAAATAAATAAAGCACAAGTGACAAAAAATATAGATAAATCTGACTTCATCAAAATTAAAAAAAAGTGTTCATTGTTCAAATACACTTTCAAGAAAATAAAAAGACAAAAAAGTTGCAAATCACATCTGACAGGGAACTTTTAACCAGATTATATAAAGAACTTTTACACTTTTACAACTCAAAAGAAAGTGACGTAATTAAACAATGGGCAAATGATCTGAACAAACTATCCAAAGCAGATATCAAGTGACCAACAAGGACATGAAAGATACTCATCACTATTATAAAACAAAAACCACAGTGAGACCTATTTTTATACATACTCTGAAATGAATATAATCAAAAAGGTAGGCAGAAAGAAGTAACAGTAAGGTTGTAGAGAAAATGGAATCTCTAAAACTGCTGATGGGAATGTAAACTGGTGCACCCACTTTAGAAAGCAGTTTGGCCATTCCCCATAAAGGATAAACTCAAATAGAATTAAACATAGAATTACGTTATGATGTAACAGTTTTACCCCTTGGTATATACCTAAGAGAAATAAAAACATTCATACAGAATTGGACACAAATATTTATAACAGCGTTATCCATAATAGTCAAAATTAATACAACTTAAATGTTCATCAAATGTCCATCAACTATAAATAGATAAGCAAAATGTAATATGTCCATACAATGGACTATTATTCAGATATAGAAAGTAATGAAATAGTGACACATGCCACAGCAAGTATGAAACTTAAAGACACTGTGCTTTGTGGAAAAAAAAAAAAACAGTCACTACTGGTCTCATATCGTATCCTTCTGTTTATGTGAAATATACAGAATAAGCAATGTATAAAGGCAAAAAGTTGATTAGTTATTGCCTTGGGTTGGAGGGTGGGTGAGAAATGGGGTTCAGAGTTTTCTATTGGGATGATAAAAGTGCTACAAAATAGATTGTGATTATATCTGTGTATCTCTGTACCAAAAACATTGAATTGGGCAAATTACATTTATAATTAATACAATATTTGACTTATATTTTAATAAAATGGCTACATAAGGATATTTAGGTATCATTTCACATTTCAAATCCAAACTAAATCTAAACTGCAGTAACATGATTTGAAAACCATCTATAACGTAAGGATATATCATTAAGGAGTCAAATGGATGTAAGAAAAAAGAAATCTCACTCTGTCAGGTCCACAATTGATCAGGCATTTATTAGAGTCTTGTGTTTAATAAGGACATGAGAAAATTGAATAGGATTCTGTGAAGTCCTTCAAAGTGATATTAAATTATTAGAGACTTGACCATATGAAAACCCACAAGAAATGATGGTCTAATTTAATCCAGAATAGGGGGAGAAGCATAGTTAGTTGTTTGAGCTATGTAAGGGCTAAGTAGTATATAAAATCTTATTATAAGAGGAAATGAACTAGCTCTACACCATTCATAAAAGGGATTTGATTAAGTAAATTTGGAATAAATTGAGACCAGATAAGTTTACATTACACATTAATTTGATGAGGGTGCTTATTTATGGAAAGATGATAACAAGACGTTAAAAATCTCTTCTAGAAACATTTAAGATTAGGCGATATTGATGATTCTAGGAGTTTAAAGATCATGAAAAACATCTAATTTTTTTTCTGTGTATGTAAATATTAGGATTCAAAGAAATACCTATAAAATAATTACAACTAGGGGAACTTCCTAGCAAAAGGACTAGAAGGAAATATACCAACAGATTTGAATAGTTCTTACCCTCAGTTTGAGAGTTACTGCATATTGACCTTTTTCCCTGTTAATTTTTATATTTCCCATATTTACATAAATATTCATAATTAACAAGTAAAGCTTTGAAATACATGTAGGATATGTGCAATGTGCCTTAGAGTATGCATCCGGGTCCTTCCTAGATACTGTAACATTTGAGCACATTTTTTTCCCATAGGCAAAAATGTTTACTTCAGGAGAAAAGATTCTGTGTATGTTCCACTTCCTTAGTTTTTTTCTGATCTGTTCAGTCAACATGATAATGCTATTGTTAACTTATTTTGAACTTATTATTTTTCACCAAAAAGATCTTGCATATTATGTATCCTCAAATACAATTTTAGTGAGAATTCCTTGCCCCTTGTTTTATTAGGTGATTATGTGGGAGATATTTTTAATAGGAAACTATTTCACAAAGCATGCATTTTACCACTCATATTGCTTAGATAAAAAGAATCTAGAAAAAGAAAAGGTTAGTTGACTGCTTCTAGTGTGCTATGGTTTAATTTAATTTTATAGTGCCTTTGGCTTATTTTCCTTTGTTGTTCTCAATGCTGTTGCAACTCAGCAAGTTTTGACTGAACACTTTTTTCCCCTCAGAATTTAGAAATCTTTATATTACTATGTGTCAGACAAATTTATAAAAGAATTTTCCAAATTAATCTAAGTCCATAATTCAGCATTATTTGCAGAATCTCTATTTGCAGACCTTAGGTAAGCAAGCCTGTTGCAGAGTATACACATAATCAAAATGTGTGCTCTCTATATCTAGCTTCTTTCTTTCTTTTTTTGGGGGGGTACCTTTCATCAAAAGTTTTATTTCATTTTTCTACATGGGTTTTAAGTTTGGTTTGGGGTTAGTCAGCTTTTGTTTCTGTGACCCAATTACCTGACACAAACAACTTAAAGGAGGAAAGGTTTATTTTATTTCATGGCTTCATTGTTTTCACTCTGTGGTCAGCATGGACCTGAGGTGAGGCAGAACACCAGAGTGGAAGGGCTCGGTGGCATAGAGCAGTTCACCTCAAGGCAGCACAAAGCAGTGCAAGAAAAAGAGTAGGAAGGCAGCTATGCTCACCACTATACCACCATAACCCAATTGAGTCAAATGTATGAAAGATGATATATCATGAGCTTTGTAATGTTTTGAACAACCAATAAAAAAAAGAAAAAAGAAAAAGAGTAGGGGTGTGGGAGAAGGGCCAGGTACAGATAAAGTCCTCAAGGGCATGCCCCAAAGACCCATTCCTTACAACGAGGCCCACCCCCTACAGTTTCTACTGTAGATTATTAATTTGCTGATGAGGTCAGAGCCCTCATGGTCTGATCACTTTTTTTCCGGAATCCTCACCTCTAAATATTGCTGTATTAGGAATTAAGTCTTTAACACATGGAATTTTAGGGGACATCTCAGATCTAAATCTAATAGATGTCATATTACTGACTATGTAGTAAAATTGACTCTATATACATTCTTTTTGCTAGAGTTGTAATCTTCAACCAATTCAGATTTCTAGACTTCACCTCTGTCTATATTTATGGGACAGGACCCTTGCATATATTTGTTTTAAAAAGTTTCCTGCATTAAAAGCAATCAGGCCTGGTATGGTGGCACATGCCTATATTCCCCATGGCTTGGGAGGCTGATGCAGGAGATTGCAAGTTCAAGGCCGGTCTAAGCAAATTAGCAAGACTCTAAGGACTTTAACAAGACCCTGTCTCAAAATTAATAAAAATCAAAAGGGCTGGGAATGTGGCTCACTGGTTCAGTGCCCCTGAACTTAATCCAAAAAACAAACAAACATAAAACCCAACAATTGAGATAATTTGTCTACTCTGTAAACTAGTTTTTTTTTTAAACTCTAACATCTGTCTTCTTTATAAACCAATGTCTTTTAATCCCTGATGAGATTCAATCCCAGGTTTGTTTATCTGTTATCTTTATAAACCAGTGTTTTAAAATCCCTGACAGGCTTTCCTATCTTTAGGGAGCTATTTAAAAATGCAAAACCTTGGCCTCACCTAACGTCAATTCATTGCAATATTAGAGGTACTGGGGCTACAGGGTATTGGAGGGCAGTGTGAGTGGATGTTAGTGTGTAGGTCTTTTTTTTTTTTTTTTTTTTTGAAAAGCATTACAGGTGATTTCTAATATAGAATGAGATGTAATAACCACTGCACTAGCCTGTGAATAACTGGTACCTAGGGACTGTGTATTGTTTTATCATGATTTTCCCTGCATCCGTTTTTCTATGAAGGTTTATGGAATGAATGATGGACTAGACATCTGTCTTGCATTTGGCCAACCAAGCATTGTGAATGAAATTCAGATGGGTTTGGTTCCAGATTTAGTCATGTTGGTCTTCATTTTCTTAGCACAGGTGCAGCAGTGAACAGCAGTGAGAGTCTCCCTCCATCCTCGTCTGTCAATGACATCTCCTCCATGTCCACCGACCAGACCCTGGCATCTGACACTGACAGCAGCCTGGAAGCCTCGGCGGGACCCCTGGGTTGTTGCAGGTGACTAGCCGCCTGCCTGCGAAACCCAGCGTTCTTCAGGAGATGATGTGATGGAACACACACATACACACACACACAGACACTCATGCACACACACAAATGCAGACACAAAATGTCAAGAAATCAGAAAGGGAGAGAATCCAAGCCTAAAATTGAAACAAATCTTTCAGCCTGCTTCTTCTCCAAAGTTCTGTAATGCAGCTAAGCTCAAATGTCTATTTAACTTCTAGTTGCTCTTGCTTTGGTCTCCTTCCAATGATGCTTATTACAGAAAGCAGATCAAACACAATTAGAGAAGCCTTTCACATAAAGTGTAATTTAAATGGCTGCAAAACCAGCAACCCGTAACTGCCCTTTCAAATGGCATGACAAGGTGTGCAGTGGCCCCATCCAGCATGTGTGTGTCTCTATCTTGCATCTACCTGCTCCTTTTGGCCTAGTCAGATGGATGTAGATACAGATCCGCATGTGTCTGTACTCATACAGCACTACGTAGAGATGCTACTGTCAGTGTCCTCAGGGCTGTCCCAAGACATCACGCACTGGGGTACCACATGGTCCATTTCATGTGATCTATTACTCTGACATAAACCCATCTGTAATATATTGCCAGTATATAAGCTGTTTAGTTTGTTAATTGATTAAGCTGTATGTCTTATAAGAAACCATGTAAAGGGGGATATATGAGGGGAGTGAGCTCTCGGACCCTTGAAGATGTAGCTTCCAAATTTAAACTGATTAAATGGCACCTGTATACCAATTTATAGAAAGAACATATGTGATGCTTATGTACAGTGTGTGTGTGGGGAGGGGTAACAGTTTTCAGGTTCTGAATGGTTTGACCTTTAGAAAGAAGGTGTGAATAAAGGCTGAGGACCTTTTCTCAGACAGCAAACAGGTTGCAGGGAGCAGAGAGTAGGGCTGAGGTGTGGACCAGAACCAAAAGGAAATTATTGCCCAGGTGCTAGGGGGCACCACTGTCCATATTTTAAAGAGTAGACCCCCATTTGTCATTTCTAGATTACATGTCATGACAGGAGTCTGTAGGAGAGTGGCAGGTGGTGAGGCAGGGTCATCACATACACTTTGGAAGGTAAGAATCCTTCCCAGAAACAAAGTGGAATTGCCTTCCTGTGACTTACTTAGCAGAACACAAGCCCACCTAGACTCCTTTCAGATTGTAGGTTGACTTTTCTATTTGTGGACTGCTTCCCAGATTCATATCCTGCCAAGGTTTTATTTTGAGAAGAAATAATGCTTTCCTCTTCTGGAAGAAAAATACAATTAACTAGTTAAAATAAAATCCCCAAAGCACAGGGTGATCCTTAGATTAGCATTTGAAAACATCTCCAGAGACATTGGTATTTCTCAGGAGTTTCCCTGACTCCTTTATATGACTAATGTTTCATGTTTATTTATTTATTTTCATGAGTTTGAACAATCCAAGAAGGGCTGATAATCAGAAATTTGTACTGCAGTAGATGATGTGAGAGCAATAACTGCCACAAGTTACTGCGGCTAAATGGTGTTAGCAATATGAGTTTGTCTCAAAGCCATGAAGCATTAATGTCGATGTTTAGCAAAATCATCTGAATTTAGTTTCAATTAAATGAAAGTGCTTTTCCGAGCACCAATGGAGGCACTGTGAAACCTCTTGGTTATATACTCGGCAATACCAGTGTGACTTCTCAGCAATAATAGGAACGAGACACAGGCTTCCCTTCTTTTTTCACTTTGGTGAAGTACCATCACAGTTATTTGCACTCTAGCCATTTTGGTGCTCACCAATGTGGTGATATTTCACCTGAAAAAGAAGTGAAACACATGAAATGGATGGTTGGTGAGTGTGATATGACTGGCAAATGGAAAGCCCCACAGAAACAGAGAGAAGGAGAATGCCATTACTCTGCAAACTGCCTTAATACAATAACAGAGAAGCTGTCTCTTTTCAAGCAATAGAGTCCCTAGGGACCTGCACCCACCACTACCACCACCACCACCACCACCACGTGAGCTGTGCTTCCTTTGTGGGATTGCTTCACACACTAGGATTCCTTATAAGGGGCAATTTGCTTAAAATGGAGAGAACATCATTAGATTGCGCAGCTTATCCCCCGGAATAAGAATGTCCCACTCTATCTTGCTACCATTCTTTTTGGTTAATATTTCAGATGACCTGGGTCATATTAATGCCCCCTCCTTCATATGAGCTCTGTTACTTTTCTTTCTGTTGAATTCCTTTCTTTTAAACTTCTTTTATTTGTATCCATACTCTCTACTTCTCTTCTTCCTCTGTATTTTGTCCTTGATATATCTGTGGCCTCACCCCCCAACCCACACACACAGTTTATACCACATGGGATTAAGTGCAGAGAGCAGACAGCTGCTTGAAAGACACAAGTCTGGAGGGGAATTTCATCAGTCACAGATGACACCAGACACAAAGGGAGATCTCCAGCAGCATCCTCAAAGATCTTGACAGGAAAGTTTATCTATCTATCTATCTATCTATCTATCTATCTATCTATATATTTTTTTTGGTAGATGGACACAATACTTTTATTTATTTTTTATGTGGTGCTGAGGATCGAACCCAGGGCCTTGCACGTGCTAGGCAAGTGCTCTACCATTGAGCCCCAGCCCCTGCCCCAGCCCCAGCCCCAGAAAGGTTATCTTTCATTTTGCACAAGCAATGGGATTTTGTTTCTTTTATTCACGCAGACCAAATCTGTCAAGAGCTAGACATTTCCCCACCCTTGCTATTGTAGCCTTCCCTAAGCTCCACTAGTCTTTGATCTCCAGTTCCTTCAATGGGTCTTGGCGCTGGTTACCTGTAGTGATAGATCTGTTATTGCCAAGAAACTTGGATTTAAGCAGCATTTACAAATAGAGGTAAGGGTTTGGCCTCTGGACTTCTTGTGGGATTAATTTTACTAGGTGACCAAAGCAGGACAGATGAGGGGAGATGGGACAACAAAGAGAATCACCACTTTAAAAGCCCCCCACTCCTTCCTGTCTTAGGTCCCCTTCGTTATAATATCTTTAAAAGATAGTTATGTTATGGTCAAATTCACAGAATATATTATGTTCTGCATTGTTTTCTTTTCTTCAAAATAGAAAAAGCACCAAATATTTGCTATGTAGTTACTTGTTATTCCAAAAAGATAGATGGTCTTACCTTTTGGGCAGGAAAGTGTCAAGTCACCTGAACTATATTTCTACTAAAAGTGGAGATCCTGCTTATGGTGGGGGCTCATTTTGGAACAGGAAGTTGGTACTCTGAGGCATCTAACCTTCTGTCTCCTCTCTAGGCAATTGGTTTCACAGTAATTCTTAATAAAATATTATGTAGTGTTCTGCAGAAGGGATGGCTGGTACCCATCTGTAGAAAGAATTAAATTGTGAGAGTTTAACTAAATCACCACCAATTTAGACATGTCTTTGCTATTTTTATATGTGTTTGGGGGCTCAGTATGCTCAGTTTTACAAAGGGATACATTAACCTTACAACAAAATTTTTTATTGTGAAATAAAAGCTGAAACTAAGATTTCACCATCAAAAAAAAAAAAATAATCTAATGTCTGAGCTTTGTGGTGGCCCAGGTCAATTTCCACCAATTAGAGGAGGCTATTTAATCAATAAAGCTGGCCAAGAAGCTGGATACTTTCTCTCAATCTGTTGTCATTTTCAGAAAAAATATTATCTAAAGATACTGATAACAGCTGACTGGCAAATTAGAGAATTAGTCTTGGCAAAAGGCACAATGAAACAAATGAGAATACATAAATAGTTTTGTGACCTGTCAGGGGAAAGAACAATAAAATGGATGTCTAAAAATTTAAATATTCATTGTATAACCTAAGACACAAAAAAAATCTATATCTGTTCAATTCTCTTAACATATGACAATCTACATCTTAAAAACATTATGTTATGCAAGACTGCTGTCAACTAGTTTTGTTGGAAAAAAGGTCTTCTGCAGCTCAGAGGAGTAAATTTGCTCTAGGAATTTTTATCCCCTCCTCTTTGGGTTTGAAGAGTAATCCCACTCTCCAATCAGTCCTCCACACACATTTTAATTGTAAGAGTTCAACATTTTATACAGATATTATTAAACCAACCAGGAAACTCCTTTATGTAAAAACAATAAAACTGTTACAATGTAAATAGTTAAATTAGTTATTTTCCTTGTAATTACAATATACGATTTCTCCCTCTCCCTCTCTGCTCCCCCTCTCTCCCCCCACCCCTCCATTTTTTTTTTTTTTGCACTTAGTTCTTTAACTGTTCACTTCAACCCATTTCTTTGGTCATTCAAATGGAAATGGAAGCCTCTCTTTATGTTTGGACTCCTGTATATCTACCTTTTGATTATGTGGGACTGATGGCCAGTATATCCTAATAGAAACAAATCTCCCAGCCCTTATCTAGCATTATCTGTTCACCTTGCCATGTCCATCTTGCAATGAGATTTAACTTGCACCTGCCTGTTATTCTGCATGATTGGACTCCAAAGACGATTACCAATGATGAGAATTGTCCTGTGTCCATTGTTTATAAAATGTACTTAAAGCACACACATATGCACACACATTCTCACACATACTCTTACAGTTTTAGGTCAACCCTGGAAGTCAGAACCATACAGGTCCAGTTTTTTTACAAGGTCTTAGAGGTGAGAACTGAAGTCAAGCAGCCAGATGGATAAAATGCAATCTTGGTGATGTCTAATAGGGATTTGAAATCATTCAAGTCATTTCTGTGTTCTTTCTCACATTTTTTCGTTTCCAATTTTTCCTTTATATTGTCTTTGGACTAGAGGAGAACTTTGACTTCTTTTGACTCTTCATAGGGGTTACTGATCAATATATTGTGTTTCTGTTTCATATGGATTATTAAAACTGAAGGAAATCTGATTATATTAACATAAAACTAAATCCAAACCCAGACTTTGTTGGAGTTTGCCTGTTAACAATGGTTATTGTGATTGTTGCCGTGGGTTTTGTGTACAGACAGTAACTCTGACGGGTCGCTCATCATTTCATTTTGACCCCTGGTGAAAGAAGCTTGTAGTGTGGTCTGATTGCACCAGGGAATAAATAAGAAATGAGCAATGGACTAATTTCTCACCGTGGGTCAAGAGTGTATACTATGAATACAACCATAGAACGCTGTGTTTTCATTTGAGATTGGCGTCTTCTAAAAATAACTTCATTTATGTCATTTAATACTAGTTGTATATCTACAATTTAGTAAATTTTCTTTAAAGTAGAAAAATCAGCAAAATAAAAACAGGTCATGTTCTAGGAGTATTGAGTAAGAAAAGCAGGATTAAATTTCCTAGGTTAATTATCAGAAAATCTAATCATTTAAATATTATCCAAGAGATTTCTCTGTGTCTACATGGTAGCCAACTTTAATATCTCAAACTCTTTGGTGAATTAAAAAATGTGATTTTGTGGCTGGATGAAGAAGGAAGCCACTGATCTTGTTTTGTTTACCAGGCAGTGTCTTAATATTGAGGAGGGGCCCTTCTATTTCTATAAATAATATGTTTTATTAACAAATCAATTATTATAAAGCCTGGAAGAATAACATACCTATTCTTTGGGGTTATCATGCTTATTCTTTTATTTATTTGAGAAAAAAAATAGAAACCAACAGCCTTTCAGTACCTCTGGAATAGCTCCTGTCCTACTTTCCTTCACAAATCCTTCTTTCTTAAATAATGAATCTAAAAGTGATGAAGCATAGGTACCACAAGAATAAGAAGGGAAATTGTATTCCACAGGATGATTGCACATGGAGTCAGAAGGAGTTAATGGTATGCTCTAGGTACCATAAAAGATTACCAAATATTTGGTAATTTTGACCAGGTTTGCAAGTACAAGAAGTGGGGCTATTTGGCATTACTTTTTTGAAGCAATGTATAGAACAATGAACCTAAAAGGATGAGTTTATTTGTTCAGTAGCTGCCCTAGTTATAGCCAAGGTAGAGATTTCTCATATTACAGATTCACCAAGATGATTTTTGTACATGTAATCTTCCTTTTCTGCAAGAGTTTTGAAAGGCATGCCTGGAAGACATTTGCAAACAGTGAAGCACACAAAAGGGTCCGTCACCTCTGGTCACCTCCTGTCTAGAGCCACCCTACCTTGAAAGTCTTCAGTCTTGGTACCAGACTGAATTCCATCAGCTCAACAATTTAGATCAATTTAAATATGTTGCTGAAAACGTGCTCTGGAGATTTACATTTCTGGGACACATGAAAAGTGATAACATGTGGAAAAGAATCAAATACCCTTTTAAAATTTTCTATTCCCTTTATGTCAAATATTTCTTTCTTTAAAGACGCATTTTTCCTGTTCAATAAAATCAACATAAAAAGAAGTCTAAAAGGCAACTTAGAGGATTCAAGCTTCACTCCATGGAAGTGATAATTTTCACTTCCTCATCAATGAGTTTCTGGTATTGTTCTTCATTTTACCTTGTCTGGACTCTTTCAGTTAAACCAATGGCTCATATTCTTTGCAACTCAAAAGCAGGCACAAACACTATCCATATTATAAACCCTCCACACTGCCTGCAAAACCATCTCAAATATAATCTGTCTTCCATTTACACTTTTAAATCAGTGTTGGCAAAAATACTGTCTAAAACAATTATATAAAATAAAATTTTATAATGCAAATAATAGTATTTTACACAGGCAAAAAGAACTAATAGTATTAGAATATTTCTTTTATAAGAGGAAGATTTGCAAAATGCAATCACCTCTTCCTTAATGTTAATATATTACAAAATTGGCTCTAAGCAAGGTCTAGGAACACCATTCTGAATTTCTAGTCTAATTTCTGAGCTATATTTTAAAACAGTTTATTATTTCACTCCAAAGACATTTATTGAACACCTTTGTGTACCTTTGTGTAGGAGACAAAATGTGTGGTCCTTATCTTCAAAAATTCAGAGTTAAGAAATCTGTATTTAAAAATAAGTGATAAGAGCAAAATATCTTTATATCATTTGCTTTCTTAAATAATAGTATTTAAATTAGTGGTATTACTTGAATCCATTTTTACTGTATGCTTTAAGCAATGAAACAGCAAATCTGCTTCTTCCAATGTTCTCATTTTGTCTAATTGTATCTAAGTACACTTAATGAATCAGCTTAAGAGAATTTTGGTATTTTCCATTATATTATGGGAGATGAAATCATTTTTACAACTTATATAAAGAACAGTATGTGTGTTTGTCTGCAGTGCAAAAGATTTGCTTTAACACATGTTTCCTATGGGGTTTGGATGCTGAGATTGAGGCTCATACTGCTGGCATCACAATATCCACATCAACAAACAAAATCACCAGGGGTACTGGTATCTCTGCAGTGAATAGATACACTGAAGCCAAATCTCTGAAATTTGTTTAGCCTATGGGTGACTGTTGGAGTCCTAAAATAACTTAAGGTATCATGCAATCATTTA